GAAGTCATTCAAAGTGGTGTGCAGATCTAATGACGATGAACCTTGTGTGTGGAAAGCTCGGGTGACTAAGAAACGGGTTCATGAAATGTAGGAAATAACTGAATGGACTGACAGACACACTTGTATGCAACGGGTCGAGAGAAATGACCACAGAAATGTAACCGCTCATATGATTTCAAATCTTGTAATTAACAAGATTGAAAAGAAACTTGACTACAACGTTAGACTTATCCAGGCCGATGTGAAACAGTGCTGGAAAGTCGATGTCAGCTACAAGAAGGCGTGGCACGGAAGGAGAAAAGCCATCGAGCGTGTGTATGGCTGTTGGGAATCGAACTTCGCAGAACTCCCTCGGTAAGCAAAACTTAATTGCAAATACATATGTCGTTTGTCGGTCACTATGTTTATCTACTTACAAAATTGTATTGTAATTTGCAGGTTTTTCGCCGCGCTTCAAAGAGCGAATCCCACCACAGTTGTACAGTGGGAATGGCAGGGTGGGGAAATGGCGCATTAGTATGAAGACAGAGAATTCAAATTTGTTTTCTGGGCGTTTGGTCCCGCCATTCAGACCTTCCAACGATGCCCGCCGGTCATTAGCATCGATGGCACACACTTGCGCGGATCGTACAAGGGGAAACTGCTTGTGGCTATAGCACAGACAGCGAATAAGCGGCTATTGCCAATCGCCTATGCGATTGTTGATGAAGAAAGCAAGGATAGCTGGTCATTTTTCCTTACAAATGTGCGGCAATATGTTGTGTTCGACCGACAGATCTGTGTTCTCTCCGACAGGGATAACGACATACTTAGTGCCATTGACTCGTTGGTTGGTTGGCAAGAACCCGCTGCATATCATCGGATTTGCCTTCGACACCTTCGAAGCAACGTGGTCACTAACTTTAGGAATAGGAAAGTGCGTGATTGGTGTTGGGATTTGGGTTCGCAATTGTCGGAGCGAAAGTTTCGAGTGACAGAACAACGACTGTTGGAATTTAATCCCCAGGCACACAAGTACCTTTTCGACATTCCTTTGGACAAGTGGACCCTGTATGGAGATGAAGGAAGACATAGATGGGGCACATTGACGACCAATATGTCGGAGAGCTACAACAACGTCTTGAAAGGCGTTAGGTTCCTGCCGTGCAGAGCTTTGGTACAGGCCACATTGGAAAAAACTCTTGATTTGTTCGAACAGGAACAAAGGAAGGCCACGAGATGCATGAGTCTCGTTGCTACTGAGCACTATAAAGCCTATTTGGAATTGGAGCGTATAGCCGCAACCCATGAGGTGAAATGTGTGAACGCCGAAATGTCCAGGTACAGGGTGAAAACCGGTCTTCGGGCTAGTGGGAGAGGGAAAAACAGGTATATGTTTTTTCTTTTCTTTTTTTTTTTTTT